GGTCGACAGATTCGTCACTCGTTTCATCAACCCAGTCCCCTCCAGTAGCTAGAATAACCTCTTCCCCAATTTGATTCCTATTCCTCCACTCTTCCCCTGGCTCAACATGGAAAAGCCTATCACTCCACGACAACTTAATACTGACTGGTCCAAAGAATTGATATTCAGGCCAAAGGTCATATCGCACGGTTTCAAACTTCAACATTGTCCGCCGAGCCTCCAGTTCCAATCTCCTCCTCTCATATACTGTCATCTTATGAGGCTCGTCCTGAGCGGCCATCTCCTCCTCGCTAAGCTTTTCGGCTGCGAGATTTTCCAAATATCCTTGTGTTTTCTCCCACTCAACCTGAAACTTTTCCTTATCTGTCATTGGCACACCGAGTAAGTTCTTTGAGCCCCGAATTTTGACAGTGCCCGGATCCACGTTAGGATCATAAGCAATCCCGAAATATGGATTGTTATCTTCTTGTAGCCACGCAGGGGCACTATCGAGGTCTCTGACGTTTTCTATATTAATTTTAATGGGAGGTGGCTGTGGCTCGTCGGAGTTGACTTTACAATCCGCTCCGGGGACTATTACAATATACTTCAAAAGCCATCGGTGGTCCGCTGCGCCGAGAGTACTCCGAGATTAGCTTCAAACTAACGACGAACAGCTAGGCTTTTCTATGATAGAAACCCTATTCCGGGAGAAAACGGTCGACGGGAAACTTACGATTGACATTCGACGGGGTATACTCGATTCCGTCGACGGTCCACTTCCTATCAGATATAGGTAGGTTTAAACATCCGTCTTCCGTCAAGGCCGGGTCCGTATCGTAAAATTTCGTTGAAGTAGATTCCAGAATACCCCCAAGTTCTCCCTTCTTTTGGTCAAAATTCCGTTGAGACTGGAACACTTCGAGTAGTCGTCCATGGGTGATAGAGACTTGTGATAGCGAAAGTACTAGCAAGAGGAAGGATTTGCCGGCCAGTTGCCTTAACGACGGAGTATCCATATCTAGTTTTTTTGTAAAGACTCCGAAGCCTAAGAGGAGCTGAAATTAACGAATTATTCCACCCAGTAAATGATCCTCTAATCTTCCTGCTGTCCAAGTGCCTTCGTAACACCGTCTTTTAGCCATGCTAGGGATATCAGACCTGTCAACATTCGCGTGGGAGAAATAACGTGCGTGAGATAATTATCGCACCACATTAATTTAATTTACTCATATCCACGTAACCACGTTTTAGAATCGCGGAGACGAGGATCTATGCGAGGAAATTCCAGTTGAGGGCAGCGTGGATTGGCCCCGTATCCAGACGTCACACAGGGAGGGTGCGCAGATATAATCCATGTTATCATAGGCATCACATGGAGGAAAATGCTACGATGAACCCTAGCTATCCCGTACAATACTTCTTGTAAGAAATTTGGATCCATTCAAATCCACATAACTTATGTGGGTTTTTAATTAACGTTATATCGATAATGCCAATCTACTTCGATCCTCATACTCAACGGTGAATCGTACTCTTCCTCGAACCCGAGAATAGGGTCCCAAAATATATACTGATAGACCCCATCATCACCAGGATTGAAGTCCTTATCGTCATTGTTAATGTACACAATATCGAGAGGCCTCCCTATAATCGTCGGTCCGACTTGCGAAACCGGCGAGCCAAAATCCGAAGGGAAGTTTCCCGGTTGCAGCCCCGGTGAATTAGCCAATTGTATTAGATTATTTTGCTGAAAGAAGTTATCGATATTGAAACCCTCTGGGAGTCCGTGCTCATCGCGACTAGGTGGTTGAGTTCTAGGATTCGGTGATTGTGCGAATAGATCAAGATTCCCACGGTTGGAGTTAGTACCGCTGACTCCTTCTACTTGGTTGGTCCCAACCTCGGAGTGGCCCGTCTCTATAGTCATGGCAGTATCTTGATCGGAGTCGCCTCCCGCTTCCCCTTCCCCTTCCCCATCCTCTTCATCCTCTATTTCACTGTCATCGTCATCGCCCCAATCAAATTCGAAGGACCTCTCTATTGCCTGGAAAGCACTCTCTCCTTCACAGTTTGGCCTGCGAAAAATATGAACTCCACTCAAGAGGTATGGGAAGGCCGCTGCACGCAGATAAATCACAATGGTTAGCAGTCATCAATGCCACAATAATCAATATTCGCAAATAATAATATCCACATACGGTTTACATTCTCCGGATCGTACCAGATTTTATGTAAAAGGTCATCCCTCTTCTCCGTGCCTGGAAGATTGACGCAGGTTTCGTGCCACCATTCCAGCGATATCCAGTCAGAAAATTGTGTAGTTCTCACACCTCGAATAATGTTTCCGTGTGGATTGTATTCTATAGTGCCGAGTCGGCGCCCACTAGCCTCAAGGGCTAACCCCGCTACATAACCTAGCACAAGAGCCGCTCTCGGTCCGGACATCGTCTCCACCTTTTTTGGTGGGAATCGTGGAAGGCGATTGCTGCTTATACTAATGTCGCCCGCCATGCGCCGGTTTCCTTACAAAAAGCCCCGCAACTTTAGCCTCAAACCCGAGCGCCCGCTAAAGAGAGTCGGATTTATGATTAATAAGCCGGGAACTTGGAATCTGTGTAGTCGCGACCGTTTAAATTGGACTCTATTAGGTAACTTTTGGTCTATAGATTATTCACAAAAGTGTGGGGTTTATTATCGATCCCGTTACTGATCCTTCTTCGCCTTTCGTTTGTCCTCCAGTTGTTCGTGAACTTGTTCGCATGCCCTTTCAAGTTCAACAACGAGCTGTGGTATTTTAAGAACTTCCGCGACCTAGAAAAAAAATGTTAGTTATCGAGAAGTTCTACGTGAACGTTTGATAGTCGCGAACCTCCTTAGCAGTCGGCTCTTCTATCAGCTCAAACTCTTCCTGTAAATGCTCTTCAGCAGCCTCGTCCATTACCCCCGCCTCTGCCGCCTGTTTGATAGTTTCTTTATCAATTTCGACATCTTCGGCCACTCTCTCTATTTTCGTTTTGTATATCCTGTCAAGCTGTGTGTCAGGTTGAGGATCCAGAAGGTTATTCTTTACTAGAAACTCTAGATGTCGGCCTCCCTGTAGAGCTACATTTTGAAACTCAACGTTAGCAGGCTATAACGAGTTGGACAACAAACGCTCCTCCTACCTCTCCAGTGTGAATATGCTAATATAAAACTCGTTAGCAAAGAATATAAAGGCTTAAATATCTTAGCTTTGCATACCTCGGAAAACAAGGTAGAAGAATGGTATATTTGGTATTCTAGCTATTGCAAATCAGTATTAGCAAAGCATTCCATAGCCTTTGTCTCATCAACCCTTCCCTATCTTTAAAGGGGCTACTTGCATCGGTACTAATGCAAATGGCGCAGATATCGGCATGCCAATGAAGCACCATATTAAAAGCCGCCTATGAGTTCCAGCTTTTTCTGTCCCTAATGTATGTAGTAACTTCGGTATTTCCCCTGGGGTCATCACCGAGGGAGGATATACGACCGGAATCTTCTGACGTTCGTTGCCGGGGATGTTTCGAGGGAGGGCAGATACCGATTTGAGTGCCCTAAAGGATGTTAGCAAGTTTACTCGGCAATTTGTGGTATAAAGCATCGTCATGCCATTCTTGATATGATATCCTTCGGAGCAACTGGCCAACCGAGTTAGTGACCCAAGAACTATTCAATATGCAAAACATTCCATACCCTATTCCCATGGATTGTAAGCTGTTTCTGCCACCCTTTCTCATATTTCTCCCACTTCAACCAAATGTCACTTGATTTCCTGCACGCCCATAACTCTTGTCAGAACTACACGGCGCAGACCCAAGAATATCCCGGAAAAATCGCCACTAAGAACGTACGTGATCGCTCGATCCAGAAGTGATGGCTTCTTGTTAGCTTCTTGTGCTATGCGGTGGCCGTAAACGAACGCCCGTCGAGGGGTAAGCGGGATGAGGAACAAGCGCATCTGCGGCTTGCCCTTGCAGGTGTACGACACCTATTGCGATACCGATATGTGGGTCTAAAAACGGCGGATGGGAAGCAGGAAAACCCCGACTCAAGTAGATGAGACGAAGGAAAGCTGAGTGAATCCTGAGGTCCTGGCCATGGCTTTTAAGGCGGTCCCATGGAGCTGAGGTTGAAAAAAATGCGAGCGCTGCCTTCCTTAAGCTCGAGCTGGGCGCGAAAACAAGTTACGTATTTCACGCTAACCAGCCACACATTATTGCCACACCTGACTGCTGTGGCTGTGCTGTATAAAATTTCCCACCACTTCTCCACCATCGAATCGGAGATCTTTCGAGCAGGTCCCAACTAAAACATCAGACGAATGCAAGATATCGCTAGTCCAAAAGGAGCCCTGAGGTTCTCGAGCTCTTCCTGGGGCCGCCCACGATGTTTGTCGCATGAGGTTGAAATAAGCTTGGTGCGGACGGACCAGTCATCTTGCTCCCGAGCACTGCCTCATTCCACGCATGACAAGGCCGTACCTAGTCAAAATCTGGCCGTTGGGCTGCTGGATGGCCGGCCTTTTTGGGCAGTTCAGCTGATCCTTTGTATCAAAGAAGCGCATGGTGCAGTTGGACGTTTTCCTGGTTCCATTCGCCTTATATCGCACGTTTCCATGGATCGAGATGACCCCTGGCACTAGATCTCAAGCCCACGAAGCTTAGCTAGCTTGTCCCAATGGCAAAGCCCTGGCATCCCAGGCCCACCAAACAAACAAAAAATTAAAAAGCTTCCGCGAAAATTCTCGAATTCAAGAGCGAGCCCGATTTTTATGCGACTGTTGGAGAATGAGGAAACCTTTGATAGCGCTAACGTCAGAGAACATCGTGCAAACCCAGGAACCGCTCCGTCGTCATAACGCGATGTGGTTCTAGCGTATGACAAGACTTCGCCTAACCCTCGATGGTAAGTTTCGAGACCAGATTAAGAAGGTCGACAAAACGAAAGACCAGAGAACGAAAAAAAAAAAAAGGCAAAGCAAAAAATGAAGATAGTACTGACAGCTGTGGGATTCGAACCCACGAATCAAAGAAACAGGTGAATATATGTCGTGAAGACCTAAAACCTGCGCCATAACCACTCGGCCAAGCTGCCAAACTGAACGGAGATCGCGCGATTGCAATATAGAAGCCCGGTTGCGTCGACGGTTGAATGAAAACCGATGGTCCGCTGATTGCCGTTACGGACTCTGTGTTGTGTCCAGCCAAACTGCAACAATTCTCCGTGTTACTTTTGAGCTTTATCATGCTTAGGCGCCCGCCTCCACCTTTTCGACTTTTCCAAGCTCACGAGTACGAGCAAAATCAAGAAAGAACAAAATACAACCGAATCAGCAATTCGACCATGCACGCCTCTAGAGCCTCTGGCTGCAGGAGAAATTGGGGTGGCTGCTTTTTCAGAGATCCCTGGATTATCGGAGAAAATTCATTGGTCGGACTAACCCTTTCAACCCTTTTCTCTCCCACCTTCCGTCAGCTGATATCAAGAAGTATAATATGTAATAGCAATCCTAAAAGCGGGGTCGATAGGCCCAAAGGCCCGTCCGAGTGCCTCTTCGAGGGGATTATCCAGGGGTCTACGTAAGTATGTATCATAGCAGAACGGGCCCGTCTCCCGTTCTGATTCGATTTTCTATCAAAATCCATTAATTGCATATGCGTTGTCCGGCAAGGCCTCCTGTAGGGCTTGCAGAGTGACTGATGCAGGAGTAGCGATCAGAACATCCACAGATTGATATTAATTAGATTTCAATGAATCATTTCCCACACTATTTCCAAATTGCTTAATTCTAAACTTTAGAACGGTCAATTGACATGATCAGATGCGCTGCAGCCTAACTCAGGTCGTATCGATATCTGGATTTCGCGGAATTATCCACAACTCCCCGGCTATTAAGGAAACTCTCTTTGCAAATATAGAGCTATTATAAAGATTTAACACTGCTAGTGATTGCTATTCCAAGATATCCGTATCTAACCTAAGGCCCTAGAGATATAGTTTACTTGGCAATGCTACAAACCTTGCAAGGAAAACCGTCTACTGAACCAGGTTCTGCGTAATCAAATCACAGACATGCTTGTCGATTTCTCAAGACAAAAAGAAAGGAATAGTTTAAGGCCAAATCGGGCAGCACCATCCCATTTGTTCATCGGGGCTTTCTCCATAAACGCCATTGTCTTTCTTGTACAGTTGCCAAATCACCATCCAAGCATCCGATGAACGAATTTCTTGAAGTTTATAACGTAGCGCCTAAAAAGAGCTCTATCGTGACATTTCCTAGCGAATCACGCAAAGTTGCAGGAGCTCTGTCCTTGTAAAGACACATGCCGCCGACATCTCAATCCCGTGCCGTCGAATTTCCCCATCCTTGACCCGCTTGTCGTCCAGTTAGTCAGCCTGACCTCCACACTTCTGCATGGGCTGACTCTTGGCGTTAAACATCTATCTCACAAAGTCAGCCCCAAAGCCGCAAGCTCTTTCTCCCTCCACAACAGATTGGATCTTCCTCGGCTGGTTCCTTCAGGGAATTGATATCCACCGGTTTAAAGATAGCAGCCTAATCGGATCGATTCCAGTTGGGTTGCTCAGAGGCCGCCGATGATGTCCAACAACCTTGAAGCCAAGAACTCTGGAATACGTACAGACCTCTCGAGATACCAGATGCACCCCAAAAACAAGTTAGATTAAGCAGGTGATTCGTAAGCTCCTTCGAAAGACCTTGCTATTTTAGTTTTTGCTAACAGACATATCGAGGTCTGGGCACCTCTCGCTCGGATAAATTGGCATTCTACTGTCTACAGAAAACTAGGTGGTTTCGGTAGTACAGCGGTGTCAAGATTTCAAAAGCTGGGCGGCACACTTGACAAGCAAATAAGCGGCACCACACAGTCGCCGTTGACAGGGACTGGTTCAACGAGAGTGGTTCGGAATTCAGGCCAAGAAACATATGTTTCATCCCTCGATGTCTTGTCCGTTTCCCAGTGTCCACTATCTTTCTCCATCCGTCCATATCGATAATGGCAACTGAGATCCCTAGTCCAGCATTTTTCCACTAACTGGCCCATCAGTGTGCACATCTCTTTCTGCTCGGAGGAATTGAATGGAAGCGCCGATTGTTCTGAAGAATCTATACGTCATGAAAATGCAGTATCGAATCAAACAAACTTTCTTGCATAATGAACAAAACTTCTGCCCAACGCTAGTCCAGGCTCGGAACTCGGGAAGTTACCGGCTGTTTAAAGGAAGCCGGGGCATCCTCGTGGCGGGCACTGATGGCGGGTGAAGGAGCACACAGGTTGGCAGTCTTGGCCAAAAGAGCCTACTGGACGCCACGACCTGGGTCCCCAAGCTGGCAACCCGTCCAGTTTTCCAACGTCAGAGAAGGCATGCACACTTCCTCAAAAGAAAAATGTTGAGACGGGATGGTTTTGGAATCGAAAGCAAACAATTTTACCAAAACTTCCTGAAAACCCAGGCCGATTCAAATGAATGCCCCCATCAGTGGCAATTAATCTCTGACGATCCTAGGTCCAAAAAGCCTTTGGCGCCAATGTGTCTGCAAGTTCTACGCCGGCGTCAGCTCGAAAAAGAAGTAATGGTGTGAAGCCCAAACTGGCGGTTCAACACCAAGATAAATCACACAGACTTGTCTCACACTCTTAAACCAGATCAAGCGAAAACCAAGAGAATGACCCGAACATTCGGCTCCGCTTGTTTATACAATGAACCGAACGGCCGAGCTGGAAATTTTGCAAAGGCATCGCAATATAACGGAAAATAAAAGTCCGTGGAACTCTGCGTAATTGGGCGATTCGCATTCCTTGGGTGCGAGGTTCGAACGTTCCGTTGGAACCCCAAGCGCAGAGGTTTAGGGTGGTCTAGTCGATGGGCAGCGAATGACGGAGCAGCTTAGCACACAATACTGACTGATAGTCTCTGTCATGGCCCGTTTGGGGAATCATCATGCTTTGCCTAGAGCTTGTCGAACCAAAGAGATTTGGAATCGTGCATGCAATGTACTTTTTTTTTTCTCTTTCGCTCATCTATCATCCGAGATAGGTCACTGGCAGTCGAGATCCCAATCAGTCTTCTTGGACCATGTGTCATGACGACAAGCCATGGGGGCTTGCTGAAGCAAAAAAAGTGGTGGACTGTTGCATACACTCGAGCAGAGCCAGACCCTTGTGCACCGACTGGGATACAATAGCACTAGTTCGGCGCATAACCTACCTGCCCACCAGGCCCATGCCTTGCAGCTGGGGTTTTGCAGAGGGGAGCAACGAAAAAGGGCTTTCTCTTGGGCTCCCCACTTTATTATAATACCTTTACATGTTCTAAATCTCTAACTGATCCAAACATTAGAGAAGTCAATCACCATATCCCTTTCTGGTCCCTACTTTTTGCACAGCCTCCCGGAGTATGGCAGCGGCCTTTGAATGCATTCCAGTTGAAAGTAAGTCTTTACATCATTAGTTCCAGTTTCCCCAGATATTGGGTATACCTCATATCTATTCCTATTTCGTTTCTGTCACATCCTTTAAATTTAGATCCATGGATGGCATTGGGGCTGTGCAGCGGGTAGTCTAGCAAGCTTTGGCCAACAAACCACTACATGCCCGCAAAAGTCTTTTACATATTAATGATTCGGAATTTTATATATATACAGTATGCCTGCAGATATTCTCTTACCTGGAATTGAGCTCGCTTCTCAACTTGAGGCTCTCCAGTCGTTTTCTTCTTTCCACAGCCTCCTCGAACGGTATCTGGCAATCGAAATGTATCGACAAATGGCAGCAGCACGCTGCGATGATGGATGTCTTAGCTCTAAGGCCTACGAATTTAGCTTTTTCAGAGTCACCTAGAGGATGGTTTCGAGCCTATATTAACGTCCAAAGAGCAGTCTATTCAAACTGGCTGCTTAATGAAAACGACATCTCTGGATCCATGTGGCTCCTGTGGTTCAGGCATTACCTAACAGGAGTTGGAGTCGGAGACCAGCAATATCATGCTGTGATCGAATGGACTCCAGATAAGACCGTGAGAGCCGTCTCCGGTCTTCCTTTACGAACTTCTACCAACTGGGAAGTAGTCTCGAATGGAGGAACGGGAGTGAAAGGTCTGTACTTCTTTCCAAGAAGCCTTTAAACATCTTTTACTAACCATCATGATATTATTTCTTAAATTAACAGTTCCTGCCTACCCAACATACCACCCCTCGAGGGACCGAGTAACCTGGCTCCGCACCCTCGAGACTCACAATACCTACATGATTGCGGACAGCCCTGAATTCCTCAGAACGATCCTCGAACTAGACTTCACAATCCGTGGCGAGCTTTCGCTGCCCATCCCGGATTCGCTAACTACACAAATCGACTCCATAATCGCCCATAGGAACGACGAATACCTACCCCGCCTTTCAGGCCGTTATCGCGAAGCCCTCGGAAACCTCGACGGATCATCCCAGGGCACCCGATCCATCCTCCTCGAGCACGGACACAACACAATAGGGGTGAACACTAGCAGCTCTGCATCGTCTTCCTCAGACGCAGGATCGGAATCCGACGCCGGGTCATCTGGCTCCGGATCCGCATGGCCATATGGAGATACGGTATGAAGTTTTTACCCGTAGCTTACAATAAAACCAAAAAAAAAAGTGAAAAAAGTGAAAAATAATTCTAGCGAAACATGATTTATCCCGTGTGGCGTGCGGGGAGGAGGGAAGGGGGAGAGAGGGGCGCTCCACTGACCATTCCGAACTGTCCGACTGCTTATCCCTTTGTCCATACCATTGTGCGTTCTCTACATCATGTACGCCGCCAACTTTCTCTTTTCAGTCTCTCGACTTACTTTTCCTTAACATCTAAACAGAACAAACTCAAATCATTTTTTTTTTGAAAAAAGGATATTAGGCTAACAATTTGCCTTGTAACTTCTGGATCATCTAGTCAACTTACCCATATACTCTCGCTCTCCGACCCAGCAAGAACCGTCCTCCACCTCGTGAATGTGCAACGATAGTTACCAGTGTGTCATCTCCTCCTCCAGAGTCGGAGCCACCGTGCCGAATTTCTTGAGCTAGTCAGTGCCTAACTTTT